TAATGATTGTTTTAAGGTATTTGTTCTTCAGGGAGTCTGTAGGGATGGATATCATTCAGACTATGCATGAAGGAAAATAATTATGTACAGTGATGTAATTCATGTTTACAGTTGCTCTTGATTGTCTTCTGATTTTGAAAGTAATTTCTAAAATGTGAATTTTTAAAATTTATTTTTTAACAGCTTTATTGATGTATAATTCACATATCATACAATTTCCCATTTAGAGTATACAATTCAATGTTTTTTTAATATATTCACAGAAATGTGCAAGCATCACCCACAGTCAATTTTAGGGCTGTTCTTTTTTTAATGTGAGAAACTTCAACATCTTAGAGGAGTTTTGCTTTTTGCTTCTTTCAAAAAGTAGCTTTAGTGTAAAATAGTTAAGGTATTGTTAAATGCTAAGGAATGAGTAAGATATTTGATGAGAAGTTTCAAATGTTGTTAATGACTGTGAAAATGAAAAAGGACTATCTTGAAGAATTTTGAAATTAAAGATTTAATATGAAGAACTGCTAGAAAAAATGCTTTCTGTCTTTTCATGTAGCTAAAAGACCAGCTTCAGGACAAAGCTTGGTTTCTGTTGCACCTACTCAGAAAATTACAAAACCTGCTGCTAAATACGGAGTACCTTTAACTTATAAGAAATACGGAGATAAAAAATTACATGAAAAGAAACCACTCCAAAAACATAAACAGGTATGATCACGTTACAAACTATTAGTAACAAATTCATTTGACCTTATTTTATTGCAGCTCAATTCAGTTAATCCTGATATTCTTGGGATTGTTTTTATTAAGTTACAAAGGGACGTTGCCATTCTCTACTTCACCAGTCTTCTGTTAATAAAACTAAGACAACTTACAGAAGTCACGCAGAAACGTTAAGTAGTATTGGTGCAATAGAAGAAAGCAACATTATAAATGAAGTCACTTTTGAACAACCTAAGCAGAACCATTTGTTTTTGAGCATTCAAGAAGTAAATTACCTATGACACACTTGATACATCTGGGAAAATTTTGTATTTGAAAATTCACAATCAAATAAGTATATCAAAATCATGTGGCTGGAAGTAATGTGATCATGTAGTTACTCTGTCATATTTCAGATGGAAAAATTAAGGCCTATAGCATTTAAGTTACATGCCCAAGAACACAGTGTCAGTTGCAGGAATTTGACATTTTCTTTACGTTAATAGCTGCATTCTTTGGTATATGGGACTTGTTTGGGATTACGTGTATACACACATATATGTATGTGCACACATGCTTAGATGCATAGGTAAAAACACTGCTATAAGATAAATTTCATAGTAGAAATGATCACTGACTTAGTTTAATATCTGTCAGTTCAAAATGATTACTGTAAATCGTCTTCAAATAAGTTATTTAAATTAGCATCAAGTTAAGAGACAATAAACCATGTGATTATTTAAACAGGGAAAATTTAATGTAAATAATCATTTTTAGGGAATTAGCCTTCAAGAGGTAAAGAGAACTCTAAAGAAGGAAGAGCAGATACAGGGAGCAGCTGCTACTCTTAGTGCTAAGGCAGACTACCCAAGGAAGGAAACAAATTTTTGAAGATTCCCCCAACTCCATCCTTAAGGCTGAGCTTCAGCCTCGTCGGGTAGGGTATGGCAGTCGTCCACTGGATGGCACCACAGCCTGGGGCAGGCACACAGGAAGCGATCCACTGTGGAGCTGACGAACCTCCCTGGGTGTCAGTAAAATGCACTGGGAAGCCTGCTGGGGCGCCCTGGTACTAGCCCTGGTCCTGCTGTCTTTGGCAAGCAGGGTGGGGAGCTGGCAGGGGCACCAGCCAAGCTGTGTGGGAGGCTGTCCTTGGGAACGCTGGGGAAACTCACAGGGAGTGAGGGCTGAATTCTCCTGGAAGCTGCCCGCAAGGGTAAGTACCACTGTGTGTCCCGCTTGCTGCAGTAACAGGAAGAAAGGAGGCACCAATCAGGAAGAGAAGCCCCTTTCCTTTGCGGTGACCCTCCCGTATCAATACTGACGAAGCTCAGCATTGTGCTAGCGAGCGAAGAAGAAATGTTGGCAGTGGCCGGCCCCAGTGTCACAAGCAGGACAATGGAGAGTGGATTTGGGGCTGAGGGGCAATAAGATAACTGGCATGTTGGTTTTATCCTTTTTTTAAAAAATTATATTTTTTCAAACCTAAGTCGATTAATTCTATCATATCTGTTCTCTCTCTTTACTTCAATTGTCACAAGAAGCCTAGGACTCCAGGCTTTCCCTCATTACCTCATAGTCTCTCATCTCGGTAAGACTGGTCATGCCCTAATCTGCACCTTCAGCCCTTCTGCATGGTTACTTGAACTCTTCTACAAAGCCCCTTTGTGGTATGTCATCAGCAAAATCCCCTGTATCTTGAAACTTCTAAAGATGTCTTCACTTTTTTTGCTTTAAAAACCAGCTTGTCCCTGAACACACTGTTCTGCAGCTCTCTTACACGGTGGCTGTTTTCTCTCTAATCCCTAGTACTGCTGGGTCTAGCGGTGGAATGCAGGAGGTGTTTTCCTTGTTGCCAGACTCTCCCTAACCCTCCCTCCCAGCTCCCCAGCTTTGATGCTTTCGCTACCGCACTGTTTTACCTGCTGTCCCTCTGTGTTAGGTCATCTGAAGACCCGCGTTTTTTGAAGGGTTTAACACCCGCCTCACTGTCACTCTTCCCAGTGCTGTCATAATTCTTGGTGATTTTAGATGCAGAAGATGATACTTCCCTTAGCACATGGTCTTTTATTTTCTTGATCGTTCTCTTTCAATAATATTGTCTCTAACCTGACCTTTGAACTCTCACCTATAGTCATGCCATTAAATTTGTCATTATCAATAATAGTAACTCTTTCTTAGTCTCATTTATGAGCATCCCACTTCCTGACCAATACTTCTGTGTTTCTAGCTCATTCATCGAGGAGTCTGCCTCCAAAACATCTTTGTGCCATATGGATCCATGGATTCTAATAGTTTTTTTCATTGTCTTTCTCCTTATTTTTATTTTCCTTACCTGGCTTAAATTCCATATTCTCTTATTATACTAATTTCTAAAATCTCAACTCTCTTGCCCCTCTCTTCCATTATTATAAATCACCTGGCAAAAGCTCTCTACCTCCTTGTGCCTGAATCTGGGCAGTGAAATACAGCTGAAGAAAACATGTGGCTCTTCTAACTGGTCTAACTTTAAATTTATAACCAAAAATGTCAAATTAGCACCGTCTGGCCACCCTATTATATTTCCTCAGTGTATTTACTCTCCCACTTCCTGCAGGATTATTTACCTTCTTACTCTTCGCGAGTACTAACGTGCTTCCTACTCCACTGAGAAAGTAGAAGCAATTGGAAGAGAACTTTCCCACCCTGTCACTGTCCCTTCTGCCAGTCAGTCCTACCTATCTGCCAGTGCTCTGCCTTTCTTCCTTTTACTTCGGGTAGCTGTCTCGGTTCCCATCCAGAGTCAACACTACCATTCGTTTACTGTTACTCTTTTTTGCCTACTAAAGGACTTTGTGCTCTCTTCGGTGTAATACGTCTTTTCCTCTCTGCTGAATCATTTCTGTTAGCAAACAAATATCCTATATCTTAAGTCTTTTTAAAAAGAACCTTCCTTTATTGCCTTCCAGCTACTTCACTATATCCCTGCTCCCTTTAACAGAACTTTCCCAAAGCATTGTCTATAGCGTCTCCAGTTCCCCTCCAGTCATTTTCTCTTGAAACCACTCACTGAAGGCTTTCTTTGTCCCGGCTGTTATGAAACAGTTCTTTTAAGGCCATCAGTGACCTCCATATTATTAAATCCAGGGCTCACTTTTGTTATTCCTTGAGCTCAGCTTTTGACTGACTTGATGACCACCTCCTTCTTTAAATGTTTTCTTCACTTGAGTCTTAGGTGTTAGCTCCTTCTCGTGTTTCCTCTACCTCATTGACTGCTTCTTCTCAGCCTCTTTTGCAGGTTCCTCCTCATATCCCTGACCTCTAAATGCTGAAGTCCTCAAGATCTCAATCCTTGGATATCTTCCCTTTTGCACCCGCACTCACTTTCTAGTTGTCGATATCTACAGGCTGACTCCCGAATTTATAAAATATCTCCAGCTTGGACTCCTTTCCTGAACTTCAGACTCATTATTCGTCTTAACATCTAATGATTTCCAATAGGCATCTCAAACTTAACATGTAAAACCAAACTCCTGATTCCCTCCTCTCCCCAGATCCATCTTCCTTATTTCAGTAAATGGCAACTCTGTCCTTCCTTTGATTCTCATCAAAAACTTTTGGAGTCATTGCTGACTACTCTTTCAACATCACCTCCTGTCAACCCTGCCTTCAAAATGTATTTAGTCTGATGGCTTCTCGTTATTTTTACCATCACATCAGTCCTAACCACTTTCTTTTTTCACCGGGGTTATGATAACTAGTCTTCTGACTAGTCTCACTGCTTTCAGATTTACCATCTTCATTCTATTCTCACCTGAGCAGCCTGAATGTTCCTTTTATCATGAAGGTCAGGTCATTGCACTCTCTTGCTTAAACCTTAGCGTGGCTTTTCATCTCCCTCAAGTGAAAGCCAGAGTCCTTGCCGTGGCCTGCGGAGCCCTCAGACAGCCTCGCCACCTTTCCAAGCCTCGTTTTCTGCCCCCCTCTTGCTAGTCCCAGTCCAGCCATGCCAAACCTCATCACCTTAAACATGCCAGGTATTTAACACTTACCTGCAAAAACGGGTTTGTATTTGCCATTCTCTTTTCTTTCATGTCTGTGTTCCAAACTTACTGTATTAATAGAGCCTTTCTTGACCACCCTCTATCAAATAACAGCCATCCCTCCACTCCACCTCCACATCTCTTGTCTGCTTTGTTCTGCTTTGTTGTTCTCTACAACATTATCACTGTCTATTTTTGATTTATTTGTTTATTGCCATTGTCCTTCATTACCGTGTATAAGCTCCATGAGGGGGGGAGGTTTATTATTGCTGCTCACTGGTTCCTGGCAAATAGTTCCTGGCAATAGTAGGTGCTCAGTAAGTATTTACTAAATAAGTGAATGAGTGGTTACTTAGCCTTTGTCAAGTTACTCATAAGTGTTACTTCTTTAAAAATAACAATCAAAAATTTTAGTGAAACTCAGTTTATAAAAACCATTTTGTCATTGTTTTAGCAAAGTGGTAACTATTAAAAAACAAAGCCTAGAGAGAAATAAATGGTAATGGTCAACTGTCTTTCTTGAGCACACTGGAGTGTATCTTTATTCTATAAGGTCAACAGTAAGAAAAGCGTAGGTTTAGTAACTATTTCCTTTAGTTAGAAAGACAAATAGTCTAAGGTTGTCATCAATAGTAGTGCTAAAGACATTAAAAATTAATACAGTTCCTTTACTTCCTCTTGTAACCTAGAAACTCAAATCTGAGGCTGTTAGAGCCAGGCTCGTTGACATTAAAAAATTGTATAAAGTATGTTCATGCAAAAACATTTAGGGGCAAAGTACTACCCTCCCAATTAGATGGCTTACTATACTCATGGTTGTGTATTGAAGACCTTCCAAGATTCGAATCTGCATTCATTGCCCCAGTCTCCTATGATGCTCCTAGATTCTGAGTCTTAGCCAAATTGGACTTCTTACTAGTTACTAACTATACTTTGTGTGTACTTTTGTCTTTTTTGACTTTGTTCATTTTGTACCCCTTCATCCTTTTTGAGTGTTCTTTTGTCTCTTCTGTGTAGGTACAAGTCACATTGATACTGTACTCTTCTGTAAGCCATTGGAAGGTACAAAATGAGTAACATACTCCTTCTGCCCTCAAATATTATAATCTAACTAGGGAGATGAAGGCTTGAAAAAAAGGCAACAGGAACAAGTTGTGTGATGAGTGTTCACATTACTAGCTTGTAGATTAACAAATAGAATGAATGTTGAATCATTGCCTGGGGCACTGTTGCACTGACAGCGTGGCATGGGCACTCAGAGCTCCCCGCTGGTCTAAGGGAGGTGGGAAACACCTCACATACCTTTTGTTCCACAAGTCCTTTCTTGTTTCTTCCTAATTGTCCCTCTTTTCCATGCCCCCCAGAAAAGCAGGAAAATAATTTCTTCCTTATGTGAACTCCTTCAGAACTTCATATGTGTCTTCTTAATGTTATTTTTATTAGGTTGTCAACTCCCTGAAGTTAAAACTGTGTTTTATACTTTGCACAAAGTGGCTAGTAAACTTTTTTTTAAATGAGTGAATGAATGAATAAACTGAATTCCAAATCAGCAAAGTTCCAATCAGCAATATCCTTTACATTTTAACAGCACTTACAGTGTAAAAGGCCAAATAAAAACCCTGCTTTTAGGCACAAACAAAAGGCTTGTGTCTGTGAGCTTTTATTTTTAGTGCTTGAAAGTAACTACTGAAGTGATGGGTGGCCCACTCCCTCTAATTTGATCATTACACATTGTGTGCATGTGTCAAAATGGCACGTGTACCCCACGAATATGTACAATTATGTATCAAAAAAGTTACCCATACATTTTTTTTTAAAAATTACAAAATTAAATTTAGAAAGGTAACTACTTCAGTGTGAGGTAATAAAGAGAAAACTATAGAACATTTTGCATCGATTCTTTACAAACATGTCTAATTCTTGAGAAAGACTTGATTTCTATTAAAGCTATTTGGTTCTTTGAAATAATTTAAGTAGTATAACTTTGTATTTTTTTCTGTGAAGTATGTTTTAATAAATTTGTTGTAGTCTTTTAGTATACTTTTGACAGTTTTATATAATAAAAGAGGAAAGAAATATATTCCTAGTAGCTAAGCACTGCATTTAATTAATTTAACTTAATTTTGTTGTGGGCCTTCCAATTTTTATTCAAATATACATTGCCTGTATTTTTAACATAGCTCTGAGAGTTTATAGGTAATTTTGTGTCCTGATTTTTTACTTAATATTATATATACTTTCTGTACATTTTTATTTGTGATTATTAGTGGTTGTATTATATTTCATTTATATGAAATCAGTCAGGTTGGTTACATTCTTATAAATGTACTTTTAAAAAATATCTTGGCCTGGATCAAAATTTCTTTGGAAATGTGTTTTATTTCTTCTTATAGAGTCCAGTGAAATATGAATTCAAAGTAAATCTATTTCATAGACAGTTTTTGAGATGCTTATTTATTCCAAATGGTGTTTACACATGTAATCCATTTTAATATTTGAAATATACACATATGGAATTCTCTGTCCTTCCAGAGAACAAAATGATCATTGGTGTGGGGGTACGGAGAAGGGAAAATAGGGGTGTTTGTATCTTTATGTCATTATATCTATAAGGAATACATACTTGGGTGGACTTGCAGAAATAGAGTTATCTTACCTCTTGGCCATGTATTAGCCTGACTGAGTGGAGAGATCAGAAATCTTGGTGACACTTTACTCATGATAATAACATAAGGTCCCTCACTTCCCTCTGGGCAGGTTTGTGGTCAGGTTTATAACCTGTTTTTACTTATGGCTGATAGAATCAAGTCATATGTTGGTTTTCTTCATGTTTCCCTCATTTTCAGTTAATATTTATTCACTATGCAAAAACAGCGTGCTGTGGAATTTTCAGATTCCAGTTACTAATATTCTAAATAGTATCATCTATAAAATATTCTGAATGATAAAACAAATGGTTCAGATGGTAGTTATAAGTGTTTTGGATTCCAGGCAAGGTCGTTGCCCTCAAACTTTTTAGGCAGATAAGCATGATTTTCTAAGCCAAGCCATTGAGAACTAAATAATAGTTAAGCACTTGGAATATCATATACCTTATTTTTAAAACATTTCACTTAAAACTAAATTTCTGTGCACCACAGTGTGAAAGTATTTAATGCCACTGAACTATATCCTTGAAAGTGGTTAAAGTGGTAAATTTTGTTATGTTTATTTTACCATAATGAAAAAAGAAAAATTTCAGGAAAATTTTAAAAAACAGAAAAAAAATGGAAATTAAATGTGTGAAAAGTTTTTCAACTTGCCTAACAATTAAAGGCAGGAAAACCTCCAGACTTCTAAGATATTATAAATATGATTTTCACATGATTTTTAAAATAAGTTTTTCCCGTGATTTTTATATTTGATTTTTTTTAAGACTTGTTTTCCTCCTAGAAGCTCCATAACCACTTAATGATACTGTCTTATCATGTTTTAATTGCACAAATTTAAGCTAATGCATATTAAGTTATTACTTGACATGTCAACAAAGTATTTGCATATCATAAGACTTTTCTTTGTTCCTAATTCCTGTAATAATCAGTTTGGTTTTTTACGGCTCTGTTAAAGCAAAGGAGTGGTGATTAAGCCACCAGAGGGGGCTCCATGAGTATATTTCATTATTTTGGCTCTCATTTTAAGAAAGAAACACAAAACAAAACAGTTCTCTGAGTGTGGATGTTTTATGTTATTGTATTTTTCTCTTCAGTGTAGAAATAGTGTTCTGAAAATACCTGTGTGATCTCAGAGGAACAGCTTGGTTTTTATTTCACAGGTATTTGCATATCCTCCACGTAAGGCAGTGTGCAACATTGGAAGATGAATACAGTCTTTGCCTTCATGTAACCTGCCCAAGAGTATTTTGGGGTTTTAGTTAAACAGTCTCTTCTTACTGCACACTATTGTGTAACGTATATAAAAGCTAGTCATTTATATTGATCTACTGTATTACATTAATGTTTTAAATTGATGTGCTTCACAAGTTTTGAGACTGGTGCTAACTGGGTGCATAAAAAAACCCGTGGAACTTGTCAAAATATAGAATGTAGGGCTCTATGTCCAAAGATTTTGCAACTCTTGCGGATATGTGTTTTTTAAAAACAACTTTGTTGAGATATAATCTACAAATTACACAGCTCACCTATTAAAAGTTTGCAATTAAATGGTTTTTAGTATATTCACAGAGTTGCATAACTAGCTCCACAATCAATTTTAGAACATTTTTGTCACTCCAAAATAAATCCTTTTCCCATTTGCAGTCACTCCCCATTCTCCCCCCACCGCCACAGCGCTGGGCAACCACATTCTGCTTTCTGTCTCTGTATAGATTTGCTTATTCTGGACATTTCATATAAATGGAATCGCATAACATGTGGTCTTTTGTGACTGGCTTCTTTTACTCAGCATAATGTTTTCAAGGTTGATCCGCATTGTACCATGTATAAGTATTTTATTTCCTTTTAATTGCCAGATAGTATTCTTTTGTGTGGAGGAAATATTCCTTTGTGTGGAAGGAATTTGCAATTTTCAAAGCTGCTGGGTAACATTCCCTATTATTTTAAATTACATATACATAGAGCATAATTTGAAATGTTAACTGTGTGTTTGTAATACTATTAGGAGCATCAGCTACAATTTTTATTTCCTGTACTTCAACAATAGTGCCCCCAGAGGTCCTCATAACTATTTGAAAACTGGGGGTTATGCTTCAATAGTGGTGGCAAAATCATTTTAGGGGGTGAAGAGCAGGGACTTTCTTTTTGTTTTTTAGGGACTTTTCCCCCACCAAGTAATAGAATGGAAAGTAGCAGGGGCTGCTGGACATGTAAAGATATTTCATGAAACTTGTGGGGGATGTGTGTATGTCTTCACTGGGTCTAGATGGGAAATATATTTCGTACCGTGGGTTGCTTTTAGGAAAAGTTTGAAAGCTACTGTTGTTTAAATATGGTATTATCTTTATCTCGTCAACCCTAGTGCCTTTTCTGGGGTCAAGTGGTAAGATATATGATTAGCTTAAATGAGAGTTGAATTGAAATAACTAGACAAAATTAGAGATTAGGAGTTAGGAACTAATAATTCAGTGAGGGGGTGGGATAGTTTTGGGAACCCGATACCTGGGTTATTTTGTCAGGGAGTAAACTTGAGAGTGGAATCAGGTGTGAGATTTAGTACTACTTATCACATCGTTGATATAGCCTTGAGTTAAAATATATCGTATCAATAAAATTGATTGTTTTATAATGGTCATTTAATTAAAACGCCAAAGCACACTCTCAAAGAATCATTAACATTCATATCTGACAACAAAACTAGTTGAAGATTGGGGACAACCCTTTTCCATAGTTTCTTTGAATCTAATGTTTCTCTTTGTTTAGTAACATACCAAGCAGTACAGTGTTTCTTTATTTTTGAAAATAATGTATTTTGAAAGAGAGTTATGAAAGAATTGCCTTTGCCTTTTTTTTAAGTTTTCATAAATTTGGAATTTTCAAACAAGCACCTCAAAATCTTTGTCTAATTTGTAGTTTTACTTTTTGTTCAGGCCCATCAAACTCCAGTGAAGAGGGTGAATCCTAGAGAAGAAAGGAGGAAAATGTTTGAGGTATAAAGACATCTGTCTGCTTGTTTTAAAGCTTTGCAAAAAAGTTCTTAAAAAAAAGAAAAAATTTTACAACATAAAGCCTCCAAACCTTTCCTCCTTATTTCTTTCAAACAAATACCCGTATCTTATTTCTTTTTTTTTAACCTCCCTGAGCATAACTCTGTCATTGGTGTACTAACTTTCCTGATGAAACTAGAAAAAGTAGGAATTATTACTGATAAAAATGTCCTTTTTTTATTTAAGGAAGCACCAAGAAATAGAAGGTTGGAATTTACTGAAAAAGAAAAGAAACAAAAGGATCAGGTAGTTTTTGCTCTTATTTTTCTTCCTTGACAAGTTGTAAATGATAATAGTTTGAAGAATTCTAAGAAGATTGTCTTTAAAATTGTTAACAGATTATTAATTTAATGAAGGCCGAACAAATGAGAAGACAAGAAAAGGAAAGGGTAAGAAGATAATCCATTTTCCGTGGTGTATTCCTCCTCCTCCCCATACATACACCTTTTTTTTTAAGGGGTATACTGGTTTCCATTTTATTGCTAAATGTATTTCATGTATTTTATATAAAATACTTGAAATGGTGTTTTGTTTGTTTGTTTTTCCTCAAAAGTTGGAGAGGATAAATAGGGCCAGGGAACAAGGATGGAGAAATGTGCTAAGCGCTGGCGGCAGTGGTGAAGTGAAGGTAGGCGTTGGCTACCAGTGTGGCCCACTGCTGTCTTCCTCTGGTTGCGCCTTGCTCTTTAGCATGTATATAACTGGGTCTCTTTCTTTCTTTCTTTTTTGGTATATAGTTAATTTTTATCTAGAATTCATTTATTATGAATTCTTGGGTTTCCTATATGGATTTGATACATAACTTATATTGGTAACTAATATGTAACACTGTTAAAATTGCTCTAAAAGTTCTGTGTGAAAACCGTGATACACCATCCCTGTCAGAGGAATCTTGTAAAAATTAAATACAGTTTGTCACAACTCTGCTTAAAATTCTTCTGTGGTTTCATGTGGCCTTAAAGATTAAGTTCTCAGAAGACCCTTCTTAATCTGGTCCCTGCCAGTCTCTCCAAGTTCATCTCTAGCCATTCCCTACCACACATCGCACGCTCTACTCAGCTGAGCTCGAGACCGTGTTTGCGGTTTCCTTGCTGTGTGCAGCCCGCTGCAGCTCCGCCTTTGCACTGCTGACTTGATAGCACCCCTCCTGCCCTCCTCACACTCACTCCCAACGCCATCCGTTTACCTCGGTAACCGATTACCTAGGTAACCATTTACCTGGGTACATTAATACAAGCATTCCCATTGGGTAGATCCAGACTGTATAACCTTGGGCAAGTTTACTTAACTTTTCTGAGCTTTAATTTCTTCACTTAATTTTTTTTTTCTGAGCACAGTGCCTTATATAGTCATTTCCTTTTCCTTTCTTTGTTCTGCCAGTCTGAATCTTACGCCTCCTCTTTTGCTTATGTAGCATCCTTTACACATCTCTATCTGTGGTAGGCCAGATTCTAAGATGGTTTCCAAGATTCCTGACCCCTGGTGTCCACACCTTGTATCATTCCTCCCCCTGGTGTGAGTGGTACCTATGAATACGGTGGTATAGTGGCTCCTTTGAATAGGTTATGTCACATGGCAGGTGGTGATGGGACAGTCACTCTCATGATTACATTAACATCCAAGACTCTCATAGCAGCCTGGAGGGGAATAGAAGCCAGAGAATCATACTTCTGCTGGCCTGGAAGACTGTAAACATTCATGTGGCAAAAAAAGCGTAGGGAACCTCTAGATGCCAATAATGTTCTCTGACCAACTAGCAAGAAAATGGTGACCTTAGTCATAGCACCACAAGGAAATTAATTTTGTCAGTAGCCAGGGAAATTGGAAGAGTTCCTGAGGCTCAGAGGAGAATTGTAGCCCTGGCTAACACCTGGAATTCTGCCTGGTGAGATCCTGAGCAGGAGACTCAGGTAAATACACCCAGACTCCTGAGCCAGAGAAACTGATAGAATAAATAGGTGTTTTAAGCTGCTACGTTTGTGCTAATTTGTTACA